AGAAAGGAAAAGGATACACATCCCAGAAACAGACCTAAAAATTTGAAGTAGACTGATTTAAAAATGATCTTGATACATTCTTGGAGCAAATTGAAAACAGTGGACTAACAAATCTGCAGATCAAATATGGGGCTTTAATTGCAAGTATTCCTTGTTTATCTTGAAAACTAGCAGAGATACACGTGCAGTTACTGTTGAACTTGAATAGTAGGTCATATTTTGGCAATCCTACTGTGATACCTTGAATTTTACCTTTCACGTACGTTCTATTGTTTCCAACTATACAAAATGCAATATAATCCATCTACGTACCTACCAATTAACAGAATAAGCAAAGCACACGCTTCAAGCCATACTTTGTCCCTTTTTTATGCAGTTATGAATTACATGATGATAATGGTTAAAAGTTTAAAACTGTCATGATAGTACTTTTTATATTGACTGTGTGATTTTTCTGTATTGATAATATAATTATGTTGCACATTTAAGGCACAGATGAGGAGAGAGCTGCTCTCAAGGTAGCTGTTTCTCATACAAATGTCTATTCCGGACTGAATATAGATTACCACGGACACCTTGAGAACAACGAAAATCAGGTATCTTTTAAGGATAAAGTAAAATTGTTTTAAGTCAAGTCTGTCATAGATTAACAGACATAAAGAAAAAATTTTTTAATTTTCTGAAATTTCAACAATTTCTTTGAACACTAAGGCATATAATGTAACCATAAAAATAAAATTATTAAAATCATCAAAATTTGAATTTTTTTAATCCGAGTTACCAAATTATTTTTATACATTGAATTAAACAGGCATTAACCCTGACATTAAGTACACCAAATGTTTTTTCAGTTGTCTTAAAAATAAGAGAAGAACTTCATAGAGCAATGGTCATGAAAATGGATAAGTTTGAAGCAAAAAATTGATGATATTTGTACTGTTAAAATTGTTTTAAATTATATAGTTTATAATTTCTGTTGAAATTGGGATTTTTTAAACCTACAGCATAAAATTAGAATGTCCCAATCAGAGAGAGCATTTTTTTTCATGGTGACAACCAGTCATGCCTCTCTGTCAGAAGAAATATGGAAACAAATTCAGGTTATAAATTAGTGTCAAATTTATATGTTTTTAAAACTTAAAACATATGGGCCTCAGCTAAAAAACTTTATATATGAATAAATTGCAAGACTTAAAGATACTCTGGAAGCTGTACTGGAGATGGAAGCTAGCAATTTTGGATGAGGTTGTCCAAAATAATATATCTTCAAAAAAAAAAAAAGGTTAATATATATAAATCTTTATTTTCTCAGCAGTTTTTGATAAAATATACTTTAGTGATAATATGAGAAAATTGTTGAAGTTTTCAGGAAGCTTAATAGATAATAACATGTTCTTTGTCTTTAGCAACATTGCTAAAGTCAATGAAACACTTTCATAATTGCTTATCTTTCTTGCCAAAAGTCCATATCCTTTTATTTTTATTTTTGAGTGCATGAGGATACCTAAGATAATTTCAACTAAATATTGCCTCCTAATGTAAATATTTGGCCTTTAAGTTGCAATCTTTTTCCTTTTAATTTCTTTTTAGGATATTACATTTTTAATGTACGAACGTGATTCCATTGTGGTTGGGGAAGATTTTGATATAGATCTGATAGTGTCAAATCAGAGCAGTGAACAACGTACACTCAATGTCTCGCTGGGAGCTACTGTGGTCTATTACACTGGTGTTTACAAGAAGAATGTTGCCACAGATAATTTTCACATAGTGCTGGCACCGGGAGAGAAAGGTGAATGTGAATATTTTGAATAGATCAGGCCTTATGAACAGGTTTATTTAGGCGTTTATTAACACTACCCACAGATCTTTTAGCACTAATGCCCATATTAACCACACAACCCACAAATTTACCAGCACTACTAGAGCGGATAAATGTTAGTGCAAGGTCTCGCTTTGTTGGTGCTAAATAATTGTACAGTGCATTGATTATTATGGGTGTTAGTGCTTAAAGATCTGAGGGTAGTGTTAGTAAACACCTAATCTGTTTATAAGGCCTATAGATTAAAAATTGCATACTCTAAATACAAAATATTTACAAAGGGCATGTACATTCATCTACCTAGCAGGTGGGTTATAGGTACAAACTTTCAGAAGCAGCTTTCAGCTTTCTGAGCCTTATAATAATTTGTGTAATAATAATAATAATAATAATATAAAAACTTAGAGAGGGCTAAACATTCGATCTCTTTCATAATCCCATTTCCATCTTTTCATTCTCTTCCAGAAAAAAAAGTGAGTATAACTGTGAGTCCAGCTGATTATTTGGACCATCTTGCTGACCAGACTCAAATGAAGGCCAGGTGTAAGGTCAGAGTGGAGGAAACTAACCAAATCTTTGTCGAAGAGGACGATTTTGATCTGACAGTCCCTGACTTGGAGTTTGAATATGTTGGGGTAGGATGAGCTGTTCTTTATTTTATTTGATTAGTTCTGTCAGCATTCATTCCATTTTCTTTTATTCACTTAATTTAATTAGATTTAAAGTGGGGTTATTTTGTTTTATGCTAATTGAAATATATTACAAAACTACAGGAGCAATGTTTATGAAATGGTTTCGATTAAGAAGCAATTTAATGGCATTTATTCATTGTTTCAAGATATTTTTTCAAGTAAGTTGTATATCAAACAACTGTGTATAATATTTATGCATTTATTACAGCTGTGTTGTCACAAATTTTTTTTCATTAAATAATGTCTTGATGACACGTCAATTTAGGGTGACAAAAATGACCTCCATGTTGGCCAACCATTCCAACTGAAGTTTGGCTTCACCAATCCTCTTCCTAAACCTCTTACCCAGTGTATGTTTATTGTGGAAGGACCTGGACTCCAGAAAGCCATGGAGTATAAAATCAGGTAAGTGATGTGATATACAGGGTGTTCCTTCAAAAATGACCTATTTTACTTTCCATTTCAATATAAAATAGGTTGTTTTTTTATGGACCACCCTGTACATGTAAGTCCTAGTTGGTCAATTTATTTCCGTTACTCAGAGAAACATACTTATTTTTTTTTACTTAAACCCAACTGATGTTGTAAGAAATCTCAAATCAACATTTTAAATAGTCACTTTATATTTTACTCTTTTATTTGTTATAATTTCTTTGGTGGTGGTGGGAGAGCAGACATGCTGAAACTGTCGGTCCGATCAGTCATGACCGGCAAATTAAATTTGTCTGGACCAGTAAAAAATTGGACTTGGTTGGTCCTAAGGACTGAAAAGAGTTTTAAGAGCTGCAATTTTGAATTTACAGCCATCATTCGGCACACTTCACTAATAAAATTGTATAGGACCCAAAGCGTGTTTTCCCTTCCATTTCAAACCTATCACATTCACAAACAAAATAAGCTACCCTAATAATACTGGTAGTATCTAACTCAAACGAATAGGGTGATTTTTGGTCCGACAAAAAATCCATTCGGTCCGGCAAATTTTTCAGTACTGCCGGTCCAAATGTCCGACCATTCTGAATAGTTTTCAGCATGTCTGGGAGAGAGGTGTTACATAATTGCGTATGATTGTAATGACTTTTATTAGAATGTACTAAGTTTTCATTGATGTGCATTAAATTAGAATGATAATGTTTTACCCTGCCCTCTGGCATGGTACATGCAGAATGGCCTGATTTGATGGGAAACTGGGGAGCTGGCCTGATGTGATGAGAAACTGGGGAACTGGCCTTATGTGATGGGAAACTGGGGAGCTGGCCTGATGTGATGAGAAACTGGGGAACTGGCCTGATGTGATGGGAAACTGGGGAACTGGCCTGATGTGATGCCCCTAGCAAATACCTTAAGGGGGGTGGGGGGTGGGGGGGTGGGTGGGTAGTGGAACATTTTTTTAAGTCTGCAAGAGAAAGCCCAATTTTGTAAACCAGAAAATGGTTGCTGTTTATTGGATGATAAAAAAATATGGAGTTAGTTTATTGATCAATTTTGATTTATGTTGTAACTAAGACTTTTGTCTTACCAGGGATGTTCCACCTGGTGAGAAAGCTGAGCAGACAGTGACCTTGACCCCAAAGACCCCCGGTGAGAAGAACATCATCATCAGCTTCGACTGTCAGGAACCATGTGATGTCAATGGAATAGATTCAGTTTATATTGAAGAGTAGCTGTCATTTGACCTCCAATTGCTTGTCAATTCAAAAAAGATATTATGCTTTCTGCTTGCAAAATAAAACTATATGAAAAGTAGGAATTTTTACCTGCTCATGGCAATTTCAAAAGAATTTTGATATCTTAGATATTCTGTACATGCAATTTGTCTTTTCATAGATGTTTTAGCCAGATTCAGTCAGCCAGAGTTTCAGAGACCTGATGGTGCCTTTCCTGTATACAGATCAGCATAATTTCATCTGCATCTTCAGGAAGAGAAAAGTCATCATCAGTTCTCTAGAATTTGAGCTGAATTAACATGTGTAAATAAGATAAGTTAGTTGCTTTTTTTGTTGATATATACTAATAAGACATTTAGGTATCAATGCAGTGCAAGATTTTTCCTGCAAAAAAAAAATATTTATTATATAAATATGTATATTTTATAAGTTATTTTCCTGTGTATTTTTCTCTGACTAACAACCATTTGACATGTGTAAAACACATAAATTATTTTTTTGTTGATATATACTGATTAGACATTTAAGGCACCCATACAGTGCAAGATTTTCCTGAAAAAATGGCTAATTTTCCTGGGTGTTTTTTTCTGACTAGCCAACCTTTAAACATGTGTAAATAACATAATTGCTTTTTTGTTGATATATATATATATATATATATATATATATATATATATATATATATATATATATATATATATCGATTAGACATTTAAGTGCAAGATTTTCCTGCAAAAAAACATATTTTACTTATTTTCCAGGTTATTTTTCTCCCTTTCTGACACTTGCTATGACTCTTTTACAATCTGGGAAAATTAAAGTTAGGTTTTTTCAAAATCCAACATCATTTTGCGCACAGACCTTACGGTTTTGCAAGCTTCGAAAGTGAGTCAAAACTGCTGAAAGGTCACAGGCGAGATAAGTTAGGAGATGAATTAGATTATTTTCACCAAAAAAATAAATGTGGTATTTGTTTAAAGGCAGCAAAAGGTGGTGTGTGATTAAAATTTTGCATTTTATCCCTGTTAGATCAAAAGTCATTTTATTTTGTACACTTTATGAACTTCCTCTGGAAAACATACTCCTATTGTTCAACTTCCAAAAATCGTGCAACGCATGTAAATCATTTGTGTGTATAGAAAATTAAAAAACCTACACCTCAGAATAATTTTTAAAGAAAAATGCCAGAAAACCTACTTATCTGACAATATAGTCATTATTATTATTATTATATTTAACATGTGATGTTACGTGGTGTGATCATCACTGAAATCCCAGTGCAAAGTCTTCAAAAGGACATTGAGAAAACTGAATTATTAGGTATTGGAAGTCTGTGAAACAAATGTTGAATCTTATGTATCTCATATCTCTTTTTTTCTCATTAAGAACTTATTTCCTCGGTCTTCTTACAAGCAATATGTACATTCTCTCTGTGATTCTTATTTATCATTAAAGCACATTTTAGTGAATTTTGGGATAAAAAACTGCTTAACATGTACATAATTTCATAATTGCTTATAAATGTTATACATTTATTCCATGTATTTTATAACTTTTAAGGGTGTGGTATTTGCGATATAATAATCAGATAAATAAATTTTTCTACGAGTCTTTAACAAGTTTCACTTTTCATCCAACATCAGTGGAACATGCAGTATTTTAAGCCTGTATTTTGGAAATTCACTGAGTATTTCTTATCTATAGACTAAGCTAAATGTAAAAAAAAAAAATCATTCAATGGAACAGATACATACACCCTTTTTAACTGTTCACTTCAACTAGAAAAGTGTAATTTTGATTAAAAATATATTTTTAGACCATTTACATTTAAATGTTTATATGTAGTTGTTTGTCAGAATTTAGTGCTCTTCATGGGGGCATGCTATTATTTTATATAGAATAGATTAATAAAGCAATGTTACATAATAACAATGTTTTTATTTGGTCTAAATGTCATGAAATGTAGACTATACAGCAAAGAAAGATATTTTTAGAAAAATTATAGTCATCATGATTAAAATCAATAGATGCAGCATCATTGATTGATTGTTTTTCCAAATTTTGTTGTTGTCATTTTCGGATATTGAATTAAATACACAAATAATCAACTCATTTCACGCGAAAAGAATATCCTCGTGCGCTCCCCCCTCCCCTCATATACACACACAAAATGAATAATTAAAATATAAATGAATAAAAATATGGGATCGACTTGCAGAAGATATCGAAAAGTGACTTAAATATAGACAAATTCTTTAAATTATTTTACTCAGTTTTAATATGTGTGTTTTATTCGTGCATAGACAGTTTAAGTATTGACTCTGCATGTAGTGTTTACTTCTGGAAAATTACCTATGGGTGTAACAAACAAGACCATTCAATAAACGTGTGAAACTTTAACGTTTTCCTTTGTTTCAAGAAGCATAAAAAAGAAAGAAAGAAAAATCCAACAACCTTACGGTTACGCTGTATTGAAAGATTGAATGAAAATCAGGTCCTAAAGTTATATCACAATCCCGCCCCAGTTCGTTCATTCGATCTGTGAAATATCAAGTATGTTGACCTTGAAAACGCGTTTTTATTTTTATTTATATATTTTTGTTGTGTGCGCGTGTGTCATTATGACTTTATCAACCCCTAATCCTCTTTTCGAGATGGAGACTTAGTTATTGTGCCTTCTCATAAAACAGACTATAATTTAAACCGAGGCGTCCGCACGGAAAAAGGCGATCTCTTCATTATTATGTAAATCAGGTGAGGGGTTTGATGAGATGTGCTCTGAAAGGACCAAGGTCAGTAGAAGATGGAGAAGAAAGATGTCCCATGCCATATTGCTGCTACTGCCACACGAAGGCCGAAAAGATAGCACTAAAACCTACAGCAGTATCTCGTGAGTTCAGTACACATGATAGAAAATGTATTGTACACGTGGCATTTCTTAGTTTTGCATTGACAATATTTATCCGAAATGGCACACTCTACGCATAATCACCATGAGTACACCTCACTGACGTGAAGGATACTTTCTCTTAGCATGATTCCTTCAGTGCCTTTTGGGCACCCTTTTGTTTCTGATAACATTACCTTTCCATGAGGGTTCAATATGAATATATATATATATATATATATATATATATATATATATATATATATAGGCCCTATATATATTTGCATAATTTTTAAAGCTTGCGATTTGTTAATCATAACGCAAAGACACAAATTGCTGTTATGAACATACTCTGTTTTATGAGATCTGTAGACATAGTTTCATGAATGTGAATTCGTTCCTTTTATTCCAGTGACTCTAAGTAACGTTTACGAAGATACCAAGAGCGTCCTACTCAGAGACACGTTCCATGTTCGACATGTACAGGCCCACACCCACATGTGCCAAGTTCGCCTCCTATGCCGACGTTTGTCTGCTCGTTAATTTGCAGGGACGACGTTTAGTATGTCAAGTAACGTTTGTTTTTGGTTGTGACATTCTGTTCCAAAAAGTATATCAAATTAAAAGTCGAATAAATGAGCTTTTATTCACGAAATATTAAATCCATACTAAGCGTCCGCCCTGCATGTTGCTGGTTTGCTTCTTTTGGTTATTGTATGTTATTATATCGTAGTACAGTGCTCTATCTGATCATGGTGTTATGAGGGCAATTTATGTATATTTTTGGGTCTGGGTTGATACCTGTCCCTTTTTGAACCTGGAACGTTAGATTAGAAGTCCGCATTTTTAACAGAAAAATGTCTGTATAAAAATGATGAAGTGATTGTTTTAAAATTATTATATATTAATTTTATAGAAGAGAAATGTTTTTGATTTGTCACTGAAAATATGTGTGGGCAAATCTGCAACTTCTCGCTGTGACCTTGAACATTCTGAATGATATTGATTTCTGGGAGGGAAAGATATTTCAAACCCATTGCGTAATATGCATATGAGAAACTTAATTACACTTATCGCGTGTTCAGTCTCAAAGAGGAAGAGATGTAAATCTACAAAAGACATTGATAATAAAACGTATAACGCCTTAGAAATCCCAACAATATGTTACGGGCAAAATGTGCCCACGTTACTGCAGATTTGACCACACTATAACGATCTTTTATCAGTTATGAATATGGGGCTGTGAATAAACTTCCTCTGGTTCTCGATGTTTTCAGTGCTGGGCGGGGATCAAATGTCTGTTTTCTGAAACAAATTTAAATCATGGTGTGGGGTAAAGATTGCCATCCGAAATAAACTTAATTTAATATTGCATTAGTAGTAGAATGGAGATATTTGTTGCGTATATGATAAGAGAACTGTTCCTATAGTTGGCTACAAAAAATTCCCAGGATTGTGGTTTAGTACTTGTATCACAAAACAGAATTGTCGAAAAACAAAAATGGGAAATGGACTTCATTTAGATATTGCCTGTCCATTAAATTGTTTCTGTAGGACTGACAATAATCATAGCCTTTTGCAAATATATTTTCAAAATGACATGAGCTGCCGCAAAGCCCAAATTATGAGTATTCTGAAAGGATTCAGTGGGTTTTCAAACCGTCAACTTTTTTCAATTTTTGCTTAAAAATATAGTGAACAATTGATAATTCTTGATTATAATCTAAAGATTTTTTTAAAATTAGATTATTGGATTTATTATTTTATCTGTTACACTTAAGTCCATTCAAACAGTTTGTACAGTAATTTATTTAACAATATTACGAGATTTTCATCTAAAATGTTATTTCTAAGTATTTTGTTCCTCCAAATGGCGAATTTGATATTCTACCAAAGTGTATGTAAACCTTAATGCTTTGTTTGGTTTGAGTTTTTAAAGTGAAAAATATGCCTTAAGTGTGCAGAGGAGCGTTTTAATTAAAGCTATTATATATTATTATACATTTAATTTTTTCGGGACCAAGGGGTGATTGAGAAAAACAGGCTTGGTCAGATATCAGTCCTGCATGTCCATGTTGTGTTATTTTGTCATCACTGAACACCGAGAACCAGAGTTTATTTTAGGTGAATGTGAAAAGTCACTACATGCACGTACTCCGATTTTTACGTAACCTTTTCAGTTTTGTTTGTATGTTATTCTGAATTTGGCTAAGACTTGGATAATCTTGTAAACGCCTATGTCTTTATGTCGCTCCTGATCCAAATGCTTTGCAAATGTAAATTTTCATCCACAATTACGCCAAATGTGATATTCATTTTCGGATTTAGTCTAAAAAGTAATAATAATACCGATTGCCAAACAACCAGGAATCTTACAAACTTAAAAAATAAATGGCTATTGTTCAATTTGGTGTCCAAACATCAACAAGACGACATAGGACAAGGTGTGCTTACATGCGCGTGTGCAGTTATGTACGAATGAAACAGCAGATTATATGTATTTGTAACAGTGTTACAACCTCTTAATTTGGACGGATATGTTTCTGATTGAATTCGATGAAGACAATACACTAATGTCCAATTTGTTACAAAATCCATTTTGTGTTTGATCATTTCTTGCCAAAGCCTTTCAGAATGTTGTTTTTGAGCTTTTTTTCGTAAATCAAAGGATTTTGTCTTTGAGTAACACTGTTCAAAATGCATAAAATTTTGTTTTATTTCATTTACAGATATATATACTTTTTTCTGTTTG